CAAAACCCTTTCAAACTTTCCAATTCTTTGAAAAATGCAATCAACATCCAAATCTTGTCTCAGGTAGCTCGGAATTCCAGGCAATTTTTCTTGGCATATACTCAAACATATTTTCGAATCCGAATGTAAACGTATGAGCCAAATTTTGCAAGATTTGAAATTCGATTGTAACCCGAAAGAAGTTGATCCGTGGGAATGGCCTACCAGTTGAGCATTGATTTTGTACGATGTAGCATCGTATTGGTCATGTTTTCTTATTGAATGTTTTGTAATATGAACCAAGCAAGTTATTTGATTGTCAAGTGAACATTGGCAAGCTTTTGTTGTTATGATTTGATCATAATTTTGATAGAACGTACAAAACAATCTTTGAAGCAAATCAAGATCTATTCAAAGACTGCTTTTGTTTTCTTCTAGTTTAGTTTGAGGTGATTATTATGCCAAATTGCACCCGAAAGCAAATTTCAATCTGTTCTTTCGTCGAACTAGGACAGAGAGGAGCTCAAGAGGCTAGACGATAATTATTTGTTTCCTTTTACTGCTAACAAACCCACATCGAAGTAGCAACTGGGAAAACTGTAGCGGTAAATTGAAACATTGCAAAAGAATGTAGTTTTTAGAGAAGATTGGCATAACCATCCAAAGGCGATAATCATATGAAACGTAAGGCCCGTAAGGAATTTATTGAAGTGGAAATTGAGGTGGAGTTTAGTAGCGCTGAATTCACTATTGCATTACGGTTTACTCGATTTACGGCTATTTGTCCCTTGTCCCTTAGCCAAATGTTGGGATAGAGACTCCGTCTCGTCCATCATAATCACGGCTTATCGCCAACTGACTACTCACATCGTAGTCTTCATAACTGGTGCTTGTAGATTAACTTTAAACAATTAAGACACAGCTTGGGCAGTCACAAAGATCTATTTGCCTTTAGAATTTCATATTGTAACTGAAACAGAGAATGCCGACTACTATAGATTTCAGCTTAACTTCTAAAGATTTTCTGCTTGTTTTGAGAAATATTCGCTTTGCTCACAGAAGATAAGGTATCTGAAGTAATGGCAGCAATAGTGGATTTGTGAGAAACTCCCTGGAAATTCTTTGTTTAAATTCCACGAATTGTGCGTTTATCTCATTATCCTTATCTTAGCTTTTTCAAATTTTAAAATTTTTTACGTTGAAACGTTAAACAAATTTTAAAATTGTAATGGTGTTTCTGGTCTACATGTATCTCGTCCTTCTGATTGCCCACTTTTATGATTTCGGTTTCGGAAACTTTTCAAAAAAGTTAAAGTCTGAATTTCTTTTTGTTTAAACAGGCAGCCCCAATTATCTTCTTGACAGTTCCTTTTCACAAACAATGAAAAGTTCTAGAGTCTTTAATCAGTTGTTCCGCTTTTTCAGGAGCTATCAGCAAATCCTTCGCCCCCAGATCAAACCGCACCAAGTAAGAAAGACAGAATATTTTAGAAGCATGTTTTGGATATGAAATCGTTCAGGTTCTCAGCATATAGAAGCTCGAAACGCTACCGAAGAGACGAAAACGGCTGCTGTTGCACTTCCTCCCATTGTAGAGGGTAAGGATTACATTGAAGTGCTCATCTATGTTCAATGAGACTAAAAATACCACAAGGGTTCAAAAAATGTGTCATTCAAGGCAGAAATAAGGAAATGGTTTATATGATGCAGATGTATTTTATGAGTACTAGCTGTTAGTTAACTTTCCAAATTCATTGCAAACGAAAAAAAAAGCAAATAGACAAATTGACCTCAATAAATTCATGATCATCTTGCACAATCTGAGCTTCTTTTCTCAAATCCCCAAATTTTA